TTAGGACACAACACCCAATGAAGGAAGACTACATAGTCTTTAAATTCATTGAGATAGAATATATGCTGGACCACAGAACAAATCCCAGTAAATTTAAGAGGACTGAAATATGCTGAGTACATTCTCTGACCACAGGAAATTAAACTATAGTTCAATGATTTAAAAAAAATGATAAAACCTACAAAAACCCCTGGAAAATCCCCAGATATTTGGAAATCAAATAATATATTTCTAAATAACCCACTGATTAAAAATGAAATCACATATTAGAATATAATTTAAATTGAATCATGAGGAAACCACAATGTATCATACTAAAACTTGAGGAATGCAGCAAAACCACTATTTAGTTGGAAATTTACAAAAGTGCTTAGAGGAAAAATAAAAATAAAAAGTATAAAATCAAGAACTTAAGCTTCCATCTTAAGAAGCTAGGAAAAGATGAAAAAATTAAATCTAAATTAAGTAGATAAAAGGAAATGGTTTGTAAAATAAAAATCAATAAAATATAAAACAGAATAAACAAAGGCAAAACTTAATGAAACCAAAATATGATTCCTTGAAAAGATCAAAATAATTGATAAGCCTCAAAAAAGACAGATCAATAAAAAAAGAAGACACAAATTACCAATATCAGAAAGGAAAAAGACATCACTACAGACCCCACAGACTTTAACCAAATAAGGGAATGTTATAAACAAATTTATGCCAATAAATTCAACAACTTAAATGAAAAGTTAAATTCTTTGACAGACATAAATGATCATAGCAGGTACAGGAAAAGACATAAAATATGGATAGCCTTATATTTATTAGAAAAGAAACCAAATCTAATTTTTTTTTTTTTGGCAGTTGGACAGTACAGGGATCTGAACCTGCAAATGGCAGAATAGTACTCCATTGTGTATATATGCCACATCTTTCTTATCTGGTCACCTGTCAATAGACATTTAGGGTAATCTCACCTCTTGGCTATTATAGACCTGCAATGAACACGGGAGTGCAGGTATCCCTTTGACATGCTGGTTTCCATTCCTTTGCGTATAAATCCAGTAGTGGGATTGCTGGATCGTATGGCAGTTCTATCTGTAGTTGTTGGAGGAAATTCCATACTGTTTTCCATAATGGCTGCAATAATTTACAGTCCCACCAACAGTGTAGGAGGGTTCTCCTATCTCCACATCCTCACCAGCGTTTGCTACTCCCTATCTTTTTGATAACAGCTAGACTAACTGGGATGGGATGATATCTCAATGTGGGTATGATTTGCATTTCCCAGATGCTTAGTGATATTGAGAATTATTTCATGTATCCATTGGCCATTTGTATATCTTCCTTTGAGAAATGCTTATTCAGCTCCTTTGCCTATTCACCACCTTTTTTTTAATTGGGTTGTTTTTTTCCTGTTAAGTTTTTTTTTTTTTTTCCCCAAAAGAGGACCAGTAAGGGGATCTTAACCCTTGACTTGGTGTTGTGAGCACCACACTCTTCCAAGTGAGCTAACCGGCCATCCCTATATAGGGATCCAAACCCGTGGCCTTGGTTTTCAGCACCACACTCTCACAAGTGAGCCATGGGCTGGCCCTCTGATAAGTTGATTGAGTTCCTTGTATATTCTGGATATTAATCCCTTGTCAGATGCATAGTTTGTAAATATTTTCTCCCATTCTGTAGGTTGTCTTTTTGCTCTATTAATTGTTACCTTTGCTGTGCAGAAACTTTTTAGTTTGATATAATCCCATTTGTTTATTTCTTCCTTTACTGGCTGTGGAGTCTTATTCATAAAGTCTTTGCCCAGTCCTACTTCCTGAAGTGTTTCCTCTATGTTTTCTTTTAGGAGTTTTATAGTTTCAGGTCATATATTTAAGTCTTTAATCCATTTTTGAGTTGGCTTTGGCATATGGCAAGAGGTATAGGGCTAGTTTCATTCTTCTACATATGGATATCCAGTTTTCCCAGTACCACTTATTGAAGAGGAAATCTTTTCTCCAATGTATTTTGTTGTTGCCTTTGTCAAAGATCAGTTGGCAGTAAGTATGTGGGTTGATTTATGGGTTCTCTACTCTGTTCCATTGGTCTGGGTGTCTGTTTTTATGCCACCACCATGCTGTTTTGGTTACCATAGTTTTGTAGTATAATTTGAAGTCAGGTAGTATAAGGCCTCTGGCTTTATTTTTTTTTGCTCAGGATCGCTTTGGCTATTTGTGGTCTTTTGTTGTTCCACATGAATGTTAGGATTGTCTTTTCTGTTTCTGTGAAGAATATCATCGGTATTTTGATGGGGATTGCACTGAATCTGTAAATAGCTTTGGGTAGTATGGACAATTTCACAGTTAATTCTTCCAATCCAAGAGCATGGAATGTCTTTCCATCTTTTTACGTCCTCTTTAATTTCTTTTGACAGTAATTTGTAGTTCTTGTTGTAGAGATCTTTCACCTGCTTGGTTAAATTTATTCCTAGGTATTTTATTTTTTTAGTGACTATTGTAAATGGGCTTGCTTTTTTGGTTTCATTTTCTGCTAGTTTGTTGTTGGAATATAAAAATGAAAACATGAAGGATGCAATGGAATTTTAACCAGCTTTCCCTCTTATATGTAGGTACTTATGGTAAATAAGTAACTATTGAATGGGAAGAGAAAAACCAATGAATATATAATGGCAGAAGAAAGAAAAAGGTTATCTATAGAAAACATTACCGTGAATTCTTCTGAAGACTCTTGTGGTCTAGTCTATCCAAAAATTTCATTATGACAGTCCTGCAAGTAATATCCCCCAAAATATGCCCTCTTATTTGCCAGCTAATTTTATCTGAGCTACTTTTTGTACCTGATAAGTGGAAACCAAGAGAGAAATACTTTTAAGTTACCAGTAGGATTAATTAAATTTTATAGATATTCAAAACTAAGAAAATGAATCTGGCATCATGGTTTTAGCATATTCCATATTTTTGGTAAGAGAACTATCTTTGAGAATGCAGACTTAAATACTTGTATTAGAAGAGGTTAGTAATTCTGTTACGGGATCTCACTTCACATTTTTAGTTTTAAACTAACAAACACAGCAAAGTTTAGCACATTCATGGAAATAATAGGTCATTCTGCTTAAATGAAGACTGTGTGACTGATACCTACTACTGCTACTACTGGGGATTGGGGGTTTGGTGGAGTTAGGATACCAGATGGTGACACAATGGATAGAATCTGGAAGTGGAAAATACAAGAAAAAACATTATTCAGAAAACTTCTGAAACTTATCTCAAAATAATTACCCTTGTTCCACCAAGTCTCTGAAACTGGCTTCATCCACAGTGTGGAGAAAGAAACAAGAGGAAAAACTGTTCTCCCATAAGCCAGTGTTTCTCAAACTAGGCAAAGGCCTGCCAACAGTACTTGGGCCAGAGCCCTAGGGTAGTGATTTAGCCATGACACTAAATTTAGAGAGCAAAATGGCTATTCATTGCACATACTGCCTTTTTACTACAGAGGCTACGAATCAGACTGTGCCAGGAACAAAGCAGAGGTGGGATTACTGGGGTTTCCCTAGATCAGGCAGATGGCAAGCCTGTTGTGGTTCAGATCACTTCCATGGGGCTGTGCCAAAAACATGTGCACATTCCCCATGCTTGCCTATACTCCCTCTCACCTGATCCTACAACCACAGAAGCACTTCCTCAAAACATGTAGAATCCTGAAGGAGTTATTGAAAATTGCTAGTTTAGATTAACCATCAACCAGTGCAAGAATTCCTTGTATAGAGTCCCTGACAGACACTTGCCCAGAATCTTCTCACATACTTACAGTGCTGCATTACATTCCAGCAGTGCTTATTCTGTTGTTGGGAAGACCTGTTAGAAAATATTTCCTAATACCAAACTCAAACCTGCTTTCTTCCTACCTCATCTTTTGATTCAAATTCTGCCTCTTGAGGTTACATGGCATAAATCTGTGTTATCCCCTTTTCTCTGAGTAATCAAATATTACTCATCTGCCAGTACCCATCTTAAATCCTACCTCTTCTGTGTTTCCTGCCCTGACAACCCCTCCCACAGTGATCTGTATCCTCTGAGTTCCATAAGTATACTTGTATGGACCACTCCTTGGCATTTATGCTTTACAGTTTAATTAATTTTGGCATTTGGTCTTCCTAACAAGCACATAATCTCTTGAGTGCTGAACAGCCTCTTTTTTTAAAAAAATATCCATCTCCTTATCCCTTTACCATGTTGCAGCTGAGTAGATAAATATACACGTATACTTAGGCCCTCCATGAACTGGCCCTAACCACAATGAGTTTATTTACCTTCTACCACATTTCCTTACAAAAAACCACTCTAATCATATCCCACTGCCAAACAGACCTTATGTGTTCTTCCTTTGCCATACTTTCTTGCTTCTTACCTCAACCTCTCCCCATCTAGGGCAGGGAGTATTAGCCTCCAGTAAATGAGGCTAATTTGACATTGTACACTAAATGTACATTTTTGTGTGTGTGGGGGAGAGAGAGTTTCACAGCTTTCATACAACCCTCATTTTCTTGCCCTCTCTGCTTAACCAAATCTTCCTTATTGAAGCCCAGCTCATGCCCCTGGGATCCAGGGAATCTTCCATGTGAGGGAGATTTTCTAGGTTCTGAATTAATAAATATAAATTTCCCTACCATTAATTTGACAGATATATTATGTACTTTGTGAAAACTTTAAAATTAGTATCCTAATTGTGACTTAATTCTTCATGTAATTGAAGAATGTTTCATGATTGTAATGATTCATGATTGTAATGTTTCATGATTGTAAACTCTTCACAGCAGGTTCAGTGTCTTTTTATTTATATGTACTACCTTCTGCAAATAGGTATTCAATAAATAACATTGAGGACACAGATGAATATGGTGAATTATCTTCAACTTAATGTGTGTAGAAACTCAGTTTTAAGGGTGCATATCACAGCAGTGACATTGTCACTGGAGCTGGAGAAAATGCCACAATTAGCTGCCACCTTACCTCTGCTTTGCGAATATTTTCTCTAGCTTCATCTATTTTCTGTTCTAGCTCTGCTCGGCTTTGTTCTGATACAGCAGCTCCATGACATTCCAGATCATTTAGAACCTATTGTAGAAAACAGGAAAACAATGATTACTGTTTTTTCTTTTCATCTTCTTTCCTTAACTAGAGTATTTAGATAATTTGAAAGCCTTCAGTGTCTAGTAGCCATGATTACTTTTTAAAACTTTTACTATTCATTTATTTAATTAATTTACAAATTTTTGAAATAATTATAGACTCATAGCAAGTTGTAAAACTAGTACAAAGTCTCTTCATACAGTTTCCCCCAATGGTAACAATTTATATAACTGTAGTAGAGTATAAAAACCAAGAAATTGACATTGGCATAATATACAGACCTTATTTGGATTGCAGAAGTTGTGATATGCATACCTTTAATTTTCAAAAATTACATGAATATAGGGTATTGTTGCAAAATGACTAATACAAAATAAAAGTCTCCATTATACTTGCAGAATCTACCTACCATGTGCTCTCCACCCCAAGATAACTATCATAGAATCAATTTATGTGTATTTTTCCAAACCATTTCTAGCATTTCCATACATAGTTACACAAACTGAAAGTTTAAAAAATAACGAAATGAGATATATCACTCCCTCAATGTGTCTAATAAACCTTTTCATGTTTGTATGAATAGGCTGACCTCATTCTTTTTAATTAATCTGTAGATTCAATAGTTTATACCATATTTTATTTACTTTTACTCTATTGCTATTTGAATTTTCCAACCTTTCAACATTATGAATAGTATTGTACAAACAACTTAGTCAATGACTCTTTGTACACACATGGGAATATTTATTTAAGATAAAGACATAGAAGTGGAAATTATACATTTTGATTTCAATAGACATTGCCAACTTGTCCCCAAAAGGCTGTACCCACTTTTCTACTAATAGTGTGTGAGGGCATGTTTCCCTATATCTACCAACACTGCATATTGCCAATCTTTAAAATTATGCCAATATAGTATTTTATGATATTGAAAAAAAATGATCTCATTTTATTTTTGTGACTCTGATTAATAGAAGCATCATTTCATATGTTGCTAGCTATCTGTATTTCTACTTCTCTGAATGGGCAGTTCATATCCTCTTATCTATTTTTCTACTTTTTTGTCTTATTATTATTATTTAAATATATTTCTTTCTAGATATTAGTCCTTCTTTTGTTATTTATGTTACAAGTATTTCCTCCCATGCTATTCCCATTCTCTTTTTTACATTCTTTTGTCTTATAGATATTTTTAGTTTTTATGTGGTAACATTTATCAGTCATTTTCCTTTATTGCTGTTGGGTTTTGTGCCTTGCTCAAAAATAGGTATTTGTAACATACCAAAAATATTCTTTAATTTTCCAGTTTTTAATAACCTTGTGTTTAGCACTTAGCTCTTTAATTCTTCTGAAATTTACTTTGTATATAATGGAAGGGAGAAATCTAACTTTTAATTTTTTCTAAATACACAGACAACTGCTTTTACACCATTTACTTGTTCCTTTCCCCAAAGATTTGAAATGCCATTAACAAGTTTTTATTAAGAAAAATTTCAAATATACTTAAAAGTTAACATACTAGTACAATGAACTCCCATATATTTATCAATGAGATTCAAAACATGTCAAGATTTTTTCACATTTGCTTTACCTATCCTTTTTTGAAACATTTTAAAGCAAATTTCAGATATGTCATTTCACTCTTATGTTTTAGTAAAAGTTTCTAAACATGTAAAAAAAAATTTTATACAACCACAACATCATTATCAGACCTAAAAACAATATCTTGGTAGCTTCTAATATGGTGTTCATCATTAAATTTTCCTGCCTGCCTCAAAAATGGCATTTCATGGCTGATTGGTTTGAATTAGTACCTAACTAAGGTCTTTAAACTAAATTTCCATACACACAGAGATCATTTGCTCTGATATATTTGTTAACTCTTGTATCAAACCACAGTTTTAATCACTATGGTCACTACTGTATATTTCAGTATGTGGTAAGGCACATAAGTCTCATTATTGCTGTTCTTGGATATTCTTGTGCATTATAAAAAAAATTCCAGATACATTTTAGAAGACTGTCAAGTTCCCTTAAAAATATCTTGTAAATTTCATTGAGACTGCATTGAAATTACACACATATTTACTAAAAATACACATTTTTTGCATCTCTCCAATTACTCATGTCTCTTTTATATTCTTTTTTTTTTTTTTTTTTTTTTTTTTTTTTTTTTTTTTCCGTGTTTGGCAACGGATCCCAACCCCCAGTGTTGCCCC